CCAGAAACTATATATGGGCAAAGGGTTTAATACATTTTCCTTATTTATTGATTATGAAGGTAAAGTATGACAAACTACTAGCCGAAGCCATGGGGGGGATCAGAAAACCCACCCCTCATTGACAAAGGTCCAGAATTTGTCCCATACATGAGCTCGTTTGTCCTATTTTGACTGCTATGCCATCATAACTAGTGAAAATAACAGAAAAAGGCTTTTAAAAAAGTGGAATCTTCTGTTGGCTGTCGCTTCGGCAGGACTTCAGCTAATAAGTTTTGGTCAAAGTTAACAAATATTTTTATTTTACAATCTGACTTTCACTACTGTATTGTTTTTAAGAAAACAATTGACAAGTGACTTTTATTCAAAATTTTGGACCTTATTCTTGAAACAAAAAGAAGCACTAAGAGTGGACCATATTAAAAATAATTTGAATACTATTTTGTCTGTTGTTGTCATCCATGAATTTTTTAATGTGCTTTTTTTTTACAAGAGAGGCTAGAAAAATCATGAAGATCTACATTAATATTATTATGTTTTCATTCATTTTTTTATTGAAATGGCCAAATTGTGACTGAGGAAAGTCGAATGTGCTGGCCAGTTTGTTATTTACCTTATAAATGACAATAGACTACAGTTTTTAATTAAAAACTTTAACAGATTCTATTTTTTTTATTATATATGATGTAATACATTTATAAAATAAGAATAATAAGTATTTTTCTTTTTTTTTATTCTAAATCTTTAGGAAATATTTTTGGAACATCAAAAAGTGTGGTTATTTTGACCATCCGACAAGCTAATCCAGCTAAAAGTTGTTTGTAAAATGTCACTAAAATGCAGTATTTACATCCCATTATTAAATAGAACATGAGGTGAATAACCGTAAAAAGGTCCAGTTTTTGAGGAAAAAGAACCACCCCTTTCACCAGGCAGACTTCAGGCCTGATATCAGATGTTATTGAAAATTGGAAACCCACAGGGTTTCACCAAGTTAAATTAACACTTTTTAAGACATTTTTAAAAATATTACGAATGAAATTTTACACTTTATACAGGGCTAAATGCTAAAGATTTTTTCGAACATCCTAGTTAGAAAAGATTGTCACTTGCCCTATCAAAAATATTAAAAATGAAAACATTTAATAATACAATAATAATAATTTTGTTAGAATTTTTTAAAATAATTTTCAAATATATATTCATTAACAAACCTTAAACCCTTACCAAAAATAGAACAAACATAACTGTCAGTTACTTCAGTCTGCAATAATAATTTAATAAAAAATATAGGTCAGGTCAATATCCTCAGCAGCAAATAAATGGAGAACTTTTAAGCAAATGTTACTGTAAGGAAAGTATTTAAACGCTACTTTTAAATAAAAAGTTTTATTGGGATGGATTGTTGGTGATTGTGTAGGTGTTAATGACCACATTGGTTAGCTATACATGAACAAAGGAAAATTAAGACCTGTTAAAAAAGATTTAAGACCTACAACATAATATTTCAGTAGATTTAAGACTTTGTAAGGCCTAAAATGTAGCATTTGACATTTAAGACCCTGCAGATACCCTGATCAAATTCCACTCTGATATCGCTTCAATATCACTTTTGCCCACTCAAAGACAATTTTGTGCTATTTCATCCTCCCAAAAATCTGGTAAAAGCAGCGATCAGTCTCGGGTAATGGCAGCTGTTGAGACAGGAAAGTTGAGCAATTGCCTCTATTTTGTAACTCTCTTTCTCTCTCAGCTGAGATATTATTTCTCATTAACGGGAAGCAGATCAAAAATCTGTATGCCGCTGACATTTAAATTAGTCAGGAGACATTTGTGGTTTCCCTTGTGCACTTCCTCCATCTTGTTGCCTGAGGTTGCACACATCAAATATTAACCGCTGTGTTTTGTACCTGCGCTGAAGCCACAACAAATGGTGTCCCTCTGGCTGAAAATGTCAGAGAAACCTTTACTGGCTCTTATTTAGCTCCTCCTGGGAACTGAATGTAATGGCAGCGTTTGGCCTCTTCATCTCACGATTTTCTGGTGTCAAATTCCCCTGCTGTCCATTTCAAGAATACCTTTTATAGCCAGCTGACTGTTTCATCCGGAAGCCTTTCATCAGCTGAACTTTTGCTCTCCGGCGTCTTGACTGGATTTAGGAATTGTCAATAGATCTTGGATGCCCCTCATTCTTCATTTCAAGAAATAGTCCTGTGTCAGGTATAATGAGAAGGAATAAATCACAAACTATAATTGTAATGTCGTGCTGTGATTAGTTTACTTGTAACCTCCATGCTGGCTGAAAGTCATTATGGTGGTTGGTTAGTCATTTTTAATTAACAGCCACCACAGTCAGTAGCTATCAGACACGAAAGATAAAACAAATGTAAAAGACTACAGTTTAATATAACATTAATAAGACAAATGAATACATTCAGAGGTTGTAATTAATTCTGTACCTTTGTAATTGAATTTAGCTCCACACAGGACGGGTGCTTCGACATCTCCATAAATAAGCTGACGTGTTTGACAATACCGCGCTCGCGTCATGACAAGTGTTCTAAACATGCCGCTTAGATTAAATTAAATGTACTTCCGCTTTCGAATACGCGTCCGCTTTCATAGTGTTTATATTTCAAAACATCTGTGATTCTCTTTTTATGTTCAAAAGTTAAGCCTCTCAAAAATATCTATACACTTATATATATATATATATATATATATATATATATATATATATATATATATATATATATATATATATATATATATATATATATATATATATATATATATATATATATATATATATATATATATATATATATATATATATACATACATACATACATACATACATACATACATACATATATATATATATATATATATATATATATATATATATATATAAAAACACGACTAAATGACGTATTCAATTGCCGTGACGCAACATTCGAAAAGTGATAATGACCTTTTTTAGTTTAAAAAGACACAACAGACGAGTAAAATAGGTAGGTTGTTCCTCAATTGGTCCGATTATTTTCTCTCAATCATGTGTCTATAGCGCCATCGTTTGTCATGGAATGCTAATTATAACGAGGTTTACAGGTGCTGGAAATCCTTGAAAATGCTTGATATTTTTTTTTTAAATCTACTGTTTTCTAGGTTTTAAAAGTGCTAAAATTCTGGATAAAGTGCTTGAAACTGGTTGAAAATGTCATTTTGTTACTGCACTTTATCTTACAAAATATTTATTCATTATTAACTATTTAAATAAACCATAATAATAATAAAATTCAATACATATATTTGCTTTTGCATAAAATGAAAAATCTTAAGTCTGTGCATTTAGCTGTGATCTGCCTTTTAAATTTATTTTAAATTTATTTATTTCCTTTTTTATAGAAAATCTGTGCCTTTGAAATTTAAAATAAGTATAAATTTAACATGACACATTTAAGATACCATCAGTGGACAAAGGTGCCATCAAAATTGTTCATTAGAATACTTTTGTATACTATATTATAGAATATAACAATAAAAACATCTGATAAAATTTGAAGTATGCATGTAAAAATGTACTTTGCCTCTACTTTACATCTCCTAACCCCACCCCCAAAAATTGCCCACTTTTCTGTCAGCCCATCCCTTTGTGGTGGGCAAGAACTGGGCCTTTTCTGAAGTAATCATGAATGAATATAATAGTTGAGATGTGGGTCAATTAAGAACAAGGTGTATATTCTATGAATTTGTAATGCATTTATAAAGTTTAGCATGTGCAGGATGATGATGAACAAATGCGTCATTGTAGGAAATCAAATAAAAAAGCTAAAAAAGCTAATTTTGTTGTAAAATTAATACAGGTCTAGGTAATTATGAAATAATTATTAAAAGACTTTTAAAGTATGTATATCTATGTAAATATGCACTTATTGTATGTAAATACCTATGCCAAAATTCACTTGCATCACCACAGACCTATAAAGTGGAAGCAACCAGGCACATCAGGTTCTGAATTTATCATTAATGATAATAAAAGGGGAAATGTGGGCAATTAAGAACAACATGTATTTTTTTTTAAATTTATATCATATTTATAAAGTTTAGCATGCGTAGAATGATGATGATGATGCATCAGCCAATGTGATATTGTAATAAATCAAATAAAATATTTGCTAATTATATAACACAAAATGTTATTACACACTAACATGAACTTTTACAAAAGGATTTTTACACTTTTAAAATGCATATTAAATTTGTATTATTCTAACAAATTTTCACCCTATCTTTATCCTTTCAGAAAACTGACATTTGTTAAAACACTACTCCAATCTGACAGTTACAGTATATACTTTAAAACCTAACAAGTTAAAGTAACTCAAACCATTTGAGGAAACCGATTACAACAAACCACTTAAGTTCAAACACTAATCCAAATGAGGACTGTGAGGTTAATCCATTTGAGTAAACAAAGCAATTGGAGCACAGTAAAACCCAATAAATGAAGAACTCAGTTATGAGTACTGTAAAACCTAATAAGTTAAGGCAACTCAAACCATTTGAGGAAACCGATTGCTACAAACCATTTGAGTTAATACAAACTAATCTATATGAGTACTGTGAACTTACTGCATTTAAGTTGAAATAATGAGGTATTTAATTAACTCATTACCTTCAACACTGAGTTCAAACCTCTTTTCAAATGAGTAGAATTAATTTTAAGTAAATTTTAACTACACTCATTTCATTTGATAAAGTTGACTTTTGGGTTTTACATTGTATAAAAGGACATCCAGCAGACCGTAATTCAAAACTTTGATATTTCTACTCTAAAAATACATAAATAAATAAGTACTTTATGCAGTCATAAGTCATACCAATGAACATCTTTATTAAATCAACAATTTTTTATTCCAACAGAACAAATTATTTACATTTACAGCAAGATCATCCACTGGATTCATGAAAACAATTATACAATGCTCAATATGTCATCAGTCTGTTCTAGTTTGACTTCTCATCCTCTGTTTTGTTTGATCTGTCCTTGTTTATGGGGAAATCGAGGGATGTCCTGAAGCGGATGGGAACGACGTGCTCCTCCGAGGACTCGTCTTTGGTTTCTTCTGGTGTCTCGATATGCAGGAGTCCATCTTCACCAAGTGAGCAGGTCAATGAAGCTGGATCCAGGTGATCAGGAAGCTGCACGGCCTGAACAAACTCTTGAGCCTGGGACTCAGCAGATGACGAAGAAGCGTTTTTCTCAGCCCTCTTTCCGGCCATCACCTCCAGCCTTCGTCCAGACACCGTGACACTCACATCCTCTGGAGAAAAGCCTCGGGTGTCCAGAGTAAGAGACACGTCCTGCTTCTTCTTCTGCTCTGGGTCAGTGCTGAACAGCCTGGAGAAGGTTGAGGAACCATCTAGAGTTTGGAAGAAATCTTCACAAAGTTCATTCAGCAAACTGTCTCTGATCTCACTCCTCAGGTTCTGCATTATTTGGGCTCTACGGTGGAGAAAATCCTCTCTGAAGCTGGAAAGAGGCATGCCGCGTCTGGGCCACAAGAAGTAGGAGTTCTCAAAGAAAGGGTCGTCCATGAAAGCTCTCTCAGAGGAAGACATTTCTCTCTCTTGAGATTTTGAGTGCTCTTAGTAGAGTGATCTGCTTGCTTCAGGTCTCGCCTGTTTATATTTCTCCAACAGGGTCTAGAACCTCCCATTGGTGAGGTCATGAGTAGAAATTTGAAGCCGTAAGTAAACAGAATGTCTGCTTAGACTGCTATTTTAAGTTTACAGTTGTATTTTGATTTATGGGGCAGTGTCACTTTTTATGTCTCCTGCACAGGCGTCATTGGTCATGGTGTCCGGTTTGGGATTGCCCAATGAGAATTTGAGTCATGCAAGAGAGTCAAGTCATATGCTAATTTTACACCCAAGTGTTTGTTCTCTCATTACCTTCAGAAGCTGCTTACCGTAGACAGAAGCTATATACGCTGACTGCAGTCATGATGTCATTTCCTAAAAGCAGCATACATGATACATGTATTCAAAAATGTAAAAAATTATATTTTAAAAACTATTAAGGAATATATTAGAACATTATATACTATATTACAAATTAATATTTATATTATAATATTCAAATAAGATTCATACATTAAAGTATATAAATTTAAGTTATGCTACAACTCATAAAAGCAATGTGAATATAAACATTTGACTTTTTACAAGTACATTTTTCCATTTACCACTACAGAAGTTTACTTCTGCTTCTCTCTGTACTAGTCTGTGGTGTTTTTGAATCAATATTTATGACTTCAATTATTAATGTTTTATTTTTAATAAATGAATTAGACATTACTGATTTCCAGTCACAATAATTGAAAAATTTGTTATTCTAATAAAAATTTAACTTTCTAGGGGGAGGGCATGCTTTAAATTTCAATATTTTTTACTTGAAATTAGGAAGAAATATTATCAGACTATTAAACAATGAAGCATATTATGATTTTACTCTAACCCAGTGCTTCTTAAACTGGTACGTGTAGTTTTTGAAATATATTCCAAAATTTATCACAAATGATTTAAATATATATATTATATATTTGTGAGGTCCAAGCAACATGTCCAGGTTTTGATGAATAGGCTACTATATGTTAATACTTTACATTTAAGTCCAGGATTTATTTATTTATTTTTTACTTTTTAAGAACTGTAGTCTACCATTTTAAAATAAACTTTTAAAAACACATTTTAATTAAAATGTTAACATTTTATTTTGTTTGTTTGTTTTTTACCTGTAAGCATATTATTCAAACTATTTATAATGTTTAAAGTAGCTGACAATAATAAATATTCTTAATAAAAGGAACTAATCTGCTTGGTTTTTGAATTGTGCAGAGCTGTAGCTGCTTATTTAGGCCTACTATGCTACTGTATTTCAATACTGTTAATTATGGTGGTACTTGAAAAGACTATTTTTTCTGAGGTGGTAATTGATGACAAAAGTTTGAGAACCGCTGCTCTAAACTATACCTCATAAAACCAGAAAAAAAGAAATCACTTTCGCTTTGCACTAACCCTGTTGAGTACCACAAAAATGTATTTCATTAATATTGTAAAAAAAAAATACTATTTAATATTTCTAATTTGAATGATCTCAAGGGCGATACAGTGGTGCAGTAGGTAGTGCTGTTGCCTCACTGCAAGAAGGTCACTGGTTCGAGCCTCGGCTGGGTCAGTTGGCACTTCTGTGTGGAGTTTGCATGTTCTCCCTGTGTTCGCGTGGGTTTCCTCCTGGTGCTCCGGTTTCCCCCACAGTCCAAAGACCTGCAGTATAGGGGAATTGGGTAGGCTAAGTTGTCCGTAGTCTTTGAGTGTGTGTGTGTGTGAGAATGTGTGTGTGTGGGTGTTTCCCAGAGATGGGTTGCAAATGGGACTAAGCCAACAAGAAAATGAATGAATGAATGATCTCATATTACTCTTATTTAGTAATAACAAAATGAGTGTTTTTCTGAATATCAGTAATGGAATTTAATGCTGACCATTATACAATGAAGCAAATATTAACAGTTCACTCACACCCATACCTAAAAAAACTGAAAAAACATAAAATTTCACTTTCACTTTTTCGCTAACTAAACTAACCCTGTTGATTTGAGCACCCCAAAAAGTTTCTTTCATTAATATTGTAAAAAAAATTACTTCAATAAGTAATAACATAATACTTTTTTCATTCTTATTTTTCTGAATATCAGTAATAAAATTTAATGGAATGTTCTTTGGTGTTTTTGTATTTTGCCTAATTTTCTAAACCTCAAACAGCACACAGTATGACACAGTTTCAAAAATAATGGCCGTGTTTGTCTTCTCCATATATGAGTCAAGTGTCCCCCTCACGTTCCCCATGAATGAGGATGTTTCCTGTGTGTTAATGTCAAAAGCATTCAGCTGAGCACTGACACAGGCTTCCTAAACATGCAGAGAGAAGAGTGGATGTATCTGCCATGACCACACGTCTATATTTAACACACAGATATATTTATCTATGACACAGTTCAGGCTTATGACACGTTTATGCATTTATTCATCAAAATTAAATAAAATGACCTACTCTGAAATATCATAAAACATTTTTAATATCTTATGTGTGTACACTTGAGTTTAAATAATACTAAACATTATTTCTTTGTAGTTGTAATAAAATCTTTGTTATGGGGAATTACATAACATTATTATCTTTCAACCATTTCAAATGTATTTTAATAATACTGTAAGAAATTGAGGTTACACGTAATTTGATAGTTCCTTTTAGATTGTTGATTATGAGTAGAGTTGAGTCTAGTAAGTTGATTATAATAAGTAACTTTGCAGCTACATCAACCAACAGTTTTTAAAGTATTAGTGGGCTAGACTGTCTGCTTAATATCTACACTGTATTTAATGATCTCTTAAAATGCTGAATGACACATGAAATGAATGAAACTACCAATAAATTTGTCTTGCTTTCTCTGCAATTAATTCTGGTATTGTTTTCTTTTTTAGAGATGTAACTTGGATTCATATGCCCATAATCAGTCTAGCTGATACAATGTGTGGTAAAATCTGTTTTTCACAGACTAAAAATAACAAATCTATTCGCTCTCCTTTTTAAACCAAGTAGTTTTCAAGCCTATAGCTCTATTACCTATTGGAAAAAGTTTGAATTCATAAATGGGAAACTGCTTATAGCCTTTACCTCACTTTTTTTTGTTACAAATAAGATAAAAGAAATATGCTTTAAACTAATTCATAAATTCTATCCAGTTACACAGTTTCTCTGTAAATTTTAAAAATATATTGATATAAATTACTCTCTTTGTTTTTTGCATTTGGAAACTGTACCCCACATCTTTTGACACTGTGGTTATGTTAAAAAGCTTTAGTATGACGCTTCTGTCTTCATCAAAAAAAGGTAATCTTTAACTTTAATTAGCATTTTAAAAGGTAATTTTTGGATATTTTCAATATTATCTGAATAATGAAGTTTTTGTTTTTAATCTATTAATTTTGTAGATTAAGTTGCACATACATAAGTGTACATTTTCCAACAAAAAAACTGTTTTACTTTGTTGTATAGGAACTGAAAAATTACTTTTGTACTATTCAACATACAGCGCTAATAGATAGACAGTTAAAACTGTCTATTTGTGCTCTATTTTTAAAACGTTTGATTTTTGTAAAGAGCATGCTTGTTTGTACTTCTTAGATTTTTATTTAATTATTTATACTCTTGTTTTTTTTTTTTTTTGTACTTATATTATTATTTACTTTCACTTTGGTATTATTTTGTTTGTTCTATTGTCATGTATCTGTTGTTTAAAGCATAATACTAATAAAAACTTTGTAACTATCATTGATGTGTTGCAGTTTAACCCTCTTATTGTCGAACTTCACTCCTAAACCACACATTTTTACTAGACAAGTGTGAAATCAATATGGAAAAAATGTGGGACCCAATGTAGATTCACATGAAATGTCAAAAAGTGTTAGATTGTGCCCAGCTCACGCCAGTCACAGAGAATGTGAAATAATACTGTGAAAAAAGGACATGTCCTAAAACAAACACAGGGTGGCGCTGTTAGATAATCTTAGATTAACACACTCAAAGTCTGTACACTGATGAGTGTTCTTCGCCTGTAGAGGGCGTATTTGTACTACCAATATTTTTAGTGTTAATATATTTCTACAGAAAACACGATTAATTGTCTTACAAAATAAATACTTTCCTGACACATTATTGATGCATTTTGAAGTAATTTCATATGTAGCCGAATAACGTACATTTTCATAAGCTATCTACAGAATTGGAAAATAATAGAATACACGATAAATAAACATACACGACAGATACATAGAATCAATTTATGGCTTGCATATTTTCAAATGCCTATCTGTAAATATCAGTTAAAACGCGCGCACACACGCACACACACACACACACACTGTCAAATCAGACAAAGCTCATACTACGTGCCTTACACCGGCTCTGTAAAAACTTTGCTTTTAGTAAGTCCCAGCAGGGAAGTTTTTTTTTTCCTCTGTTCACATCAGAGCGAGAGAGGAAATCTATTAGTCTGACAGCTCCCCCAAAAAGCCTGGCCGCAGCTTCTCTCCCCGGAGACCCTCCATCCGTCGGCGGAGAACAGGAGAGCTAGAGACCGGAGAAAAGAGACAGGGGGACGGGTATGAATTAGGCCGTAATTAACTTTGAAGATTAGCTCTTTTTTCGTGAACAAGTTCAGATTATGAACACCGAACTTGAAAAAAAAAGACAGCAGACGTTTCATCTTGAATGTTGCTGAGGCGGAGAAATGAACTGTAATGGCGCTCATTGTAAGGCAAGGTCAGAACTATAGGGAGTCTGCGCTTAACCTTCAAGGCTTACCGATGCTGAAAGCAGAGAAGGAGACGAGGGAAAGTGAGATTTTTTTTTGGTCATTTGCAACAATAGATGAAATATGACTGAGGCAGTAAGGCTGTCTCTACGTACACATAAGTCATGTGTCAAACTGCACTGTTGGTACTGGCATACTAAACAGCTCAGCGTCAAGTCCTGGTGTCAACAGAATGTATGAGGGGGATTATGAACACAGACGGCATCATTTTGAGTTTAGATGC